GGTGGTTGGAGGGTCTGGAGTTGGGGTGGGGTTTGGTGCAGAAGTAAAGATAGGTAGTGAGTACTGACCTAAAAGCCCTCCTGGCATAAACTCCCCGGGCAGACTACTTTGAAACATGGACACAGACAGGGCCTGAGTATTTTGTAAGTGACCGTCAGGCAGAGAAAGGTGCTAAGGGAGTTGGCAGCATTAGAATGGATTTATTTGGTGAGTCAGAGTCTTCATGACAGAATGGGAGGGCATGCTCTTCACCAGGAAACCAGCATGAGCTGGCAAGGAAAAGATGGACAGTTTCCAGAGGCTCAGGGTAGCTGCAGGCTAGAATTGGCATCCAATGGGCTTCCTTAGCACCTATGAGAGTGATAGAATCTGGTTCTACCACAGAGTGTAAACAGCTAGGGGCAAAATCAGCCTTTTAGTGGTAAAGACTTTAATTGCCACCTTCAGGAAGCAGCAACCTCCCCCCCCCAGTGAACAGTGTCGCCGTCCAGCAGCAGCTCAGACCTTAAGACCAAGCGCAAGCTCCATGTGTCCCTCTCCTGCTCCCAGCTACTGCTAATGGTGAACCCTTTTCACTTTTAAGACTTCTCTTCGCTCCGGTCTACTGCTGTGGTCCAGGACCTTGTGGCTGTCTCTGTCCCATCTGCTCCACTCTTATTTGCTCTGTGGCCTTTCTAAACCCACGGCTACTCACCCTGCATAAACTCTAGGGGCTTTCCCATGCCTGCCGAACAAAGTCCCCAAGAGATGGCATGCCAGGAGGCACGACGGAAGCATTCCCTGAACTTTGGTCACCGACTTATCAGGTTACCTGGAGGAAGTCACCTACCAGAGAGTCTGGCTGAGGCCTGAGGCAGTTGCTTCTTGGGGAACATGGCTGAGGTCAGGGAGGAGAGAGCCGAGAGAGCAGAGAAGGAAAAGTATAATACCTGCATGCAAAGCACAGGTGGCCTGCAGCATTTCCCCTCCCCTTCCTCCTCCTTCTCCCTCCCCAGCGGTTGAGTGGGGAATGAATTCTCCTTTGCTTTGATCCACCTAATTCGAATTGCATTGTGCTTACCTCCACAGATCAGCCCCGCTCCTAGCCCGTTCCTTTGGCCTTCTTTAATCTGTCTCTGTACTTCAAATTCGGACCCACTGTGTCCCCCATCCCTGTTTCTTCCAGAATGCCTTATGTCCCCATTCCTTGCAACTTCATTTCTCCCTCACGGTCCAGCACAGCAGCCTCTCCATCAAAAGTTGCCTGGGATGTTGTAACCGGATGGATAGATGTGCTGTCTTTTCCCGTGCATTGCAGAGCAGCCTAAAACATCCTGGGGTAAGAAACACTTGGATACCAAGGAGCACCTCCTTTCAAGAATGAGTATGCCGCGCTCTGATGGGGCTGCCAACGGTGCCCTAGGACAGGACCGAAGTCACAGCATTTATCATAGAAATCGATTTCTCTCCAGCATGTATCGCCAAGATATATCCATCTTACTTTGATCTTGAAGTGTTTTGCTGCACAAATATCACGGTAAGTATTTAGCAGCAAGGCCAGTCGAAGGCATCGATGCTCTGAAACAGAAATTGCTTCATCTTGATCTCAGAGAGAAGCAAGACTGACTTTGCAGGTGCACAAAATACCTTTCCTTGTATTAGTTTTGGAAGCCAAGAGGCGGCTTAAGAGCCGTGGCTGGGACCTGTGAATTCACCAACGTTTATTGACCTGAACTTCTCTCTGGTTTCCCGGCTGAACTCAATTTTAAAATAATCTCAACCAGCCAGAGTCTGTTAAGGATTCTAGTACAAGCATACTGCTGAGGTCATTCCGGCTTGGATTCTTTGAACCTGAAGATGCTCTGAAATGGGCACAACTTTGTGGAACTCAGTTAGGTCTAATTAGTGTAGTTAGAACAACTGTAAAAATCGTTACACCACATTTAATTGGTTTCATCTTTTGTCAGTACAATATTATCTACTTCTTAGTTAGGATTAAGACAATGTAAAGTCTCAGCACAATGTCTAGCAGAAAGAACATACTTTCTAGATGGTTCTTATTTTTGCTATTGTTGGTATTTACCAGTTATTTTTATTTAAAAAATCATGATGGCTATGAATGAGTGGCTAAGGAGAGGTTACCATAAAAGCAAGTAGGAGGGCTTTGTAGATTTGTCAGCAAGGAAGGATAAAGTTGGGTCCCAGAGAGAGGATATAGGTAGGCCTTTTGGTCACAGGAACTTGCGAAGAGTATTTTCCTTGCTCTAGCTCAAATCAATGTCTTTTGGATTTGTAGCAGTTTGATTATGAAATGTTCCCCACAGAGTCCAGTATTTAAACACTTGGTCCTGGGCTGGGAAGGTGGCTCAATTGATCAGGTGCTTGCCTCATAAGTATGAGGGCCCAAGTTCAGATCCCAGCATGTACTTGAAAGCCCCACAGAGTGGTGCACACCTGTAATCCAAGTACTGGAGCCAGAGAGACAGAAGATCCTTGGGGCTCACTGGCCAGCCAGTCTGGTTGAATTGATGGCCTCCAGATTCACTGAGAAACCTTCCGGTGTCAACCTCAGACCTCCATCCACACACATATGCACACGAATGCATGTGCTTGCAGCCACATGTGCACACACAAGCATGTACACACACATACACCACACACACACACACACCAGCAGACAAAAGCCAAAAGGACCTGGTCCCCTGTTGGTGGTGCTGTTTAGTGATGTTGTGGAACCTTTAAGAGGCGGAGCCCTGTGGGAGGAAGTGGGTCATGGGTGGGCTATAAGGTTTTATCGCTCAACTAGCCTTCTGTCTGTTTCCTGCTTTATGCTGCTCTGAAGTGAGGAGTTACGGAGCCCTGATCACACATCCCTGCTTCTTAGAAGCTGCCTGCCACCATGCCTCCTCTGGTATGATGGGAGGTACCTCTCGAACTGTGAGTCCAACTTCTTCAAGTTGCTTCTGGGAGATATTCTGTCATAGCAACCTGAAAAGTAACTAATATACAACCCATGAAGTCGTCATTGCCGCATCTCCAGGACAGGTCCCTTCAATGCCCTGTTTATGCTGCAGTCGCCTTAGCAATTACATCTACTTATATTGAAAGGGGTAAACTAAACTCAATGGCTTCACTTCGAATAATTGAGAAATAAAGGGACCAAACCTCTCACTCAGTCTCCTGCTTTAGCAGCCATGACAGGTTACAGAAAAGACACGTAGGCCTCCGACACAAGGAAACTCCAGATCCTCTGGCTTCCCGGAGTCTAGGGCCAAAACTGAACACAAACTCCAGATCTCCCCGCCATTAGCCTCCTAGACACGTGGTTTCTGGGAACTGTTTGGCCACAAAAGAAACTTCAGGGGAGACCAAAACCTCCCCTATAGTCTCCAGGATCTAGTTCTGAAAACTCTTGATATCTATGAACAAGAGGCCACCTGCAAGTAACAAGACAAAGCCACAGAAACCACAGAATGTTCCCTCTCAGCACTGACCAATGAGAATAATTGGTACACAGGTATTTCATGCCAAAATATGACTTTGAGAAATTCTCCTAATTGTTCCCAAATGTCAACTAATCAAAAACCAACCCGTATCTACTGATGTAATCCTGTAACTTTTGTCTTTAAAACCTAGCAGTACACAGGGGACTTCACTCCCTCTGGGGGCTGCTGTGTCAGCTTGCTAGATGGGGTCCCTGTCATGATTGGATGACCAATTAAAACCTTGTTTTTACAGTTTAGTGGGTCTGTGTTCCTGTTGGTCTCTGGGGATCTGTGCAACTTAGGCACAGAAATAACAAGCCCGCATCAGATAATGTGATCACCCTAGTTTTCAACTGCTAAGTGTGTTTCTTTTTCAATTCTTTTTTTTTGCTGAGTGTGTTTTAAAGCAGGACTTTTAAAGTTATTCCCATTCACTAACCGCTTTTTGCTGTATTTTTTTTTTACTTTTTGCAAAGCCTCTGGTTATATAGTATATAAAATAGGAATGCAAATAAGATATTTACTGTTAACAAATCACATTTACTGTTAAATCACAGATACTTGTTTTAAAACAATTCTTTGGTGTCCATATAGTTTTACCACTTATTAATGACAAAAGCAAAAGTGCATACTAATGAGATGGACGTGTTATTTTTTTTCCCCAGAGACAGGGTTTCTCTGTAGCTTTGGACCCTGTCCTGGAACTCACTCTGTAGACTGGGCTGGCCTGGAACTCACAGAGATCCGCCTGTCTCTGCCTCCTGAATGCTGGGATTAAAGGCGTACGCCACCACCACCCCGCAGATGTGCCTTTTTAATATAGGGAATTACATCTTGGCTGAAGGTTAGGTGCTGCAGAATGCATACAATCTCCGACACTGTTCAAAGTTGACAGACATGCTGATTTTACAGTTGTCAGTGATGAAGAACATTTTAACTTCCATGGAGAACACTCTTTCACACAGAAACACTGCCCTAAAACATGGTAAAGAATGTCAAAGCCCCTTTCAGAATTATAGATGTGTGAAATCACCCAATAGTGGAAAAATTTAGAGTAGTTACTTTGAAGTGTTTGCTCTTAATTTCCATCTATATTGTCTCCGAGTAAGCAGTTACTGCCCGTCTTTCTCTGTGGAAGCTGAGACATCCTGGACTCGTCAGATTTCCAGTTCGGGGGATTTAATCCATTTCTCTTCTTTTCTCTTTCTTTCTTTCCTTTTTTTTTTTTTTTTTTTTTTTTTTTTGGTTTTTCAAGATAGAGTTTCTGTGTAGCTTTGTAGACCAGGCTGGCCTCAAACTCACAGAGATCCACCTGCCTCTGCCTCTCGAGCTGGGATTAATGGCATGCAGTAGAATATTATTTTAAGGTGTGTGGCTTTTGTTTATGCTGCGTTTGTTTAACTCTGTGAAGCTGTGTTACTTTGCCTGTCTAAAACACCTGATGGTCTAATAAAGAACTGAAAGACCAATAGCGAGGCAGGAGCAAGGAGAGGCAGGGCTGGCAGGCAGAGGTATAAATACAAGGAAAAAAAAAACGAGGAAGAGAAGCAACAAGAGAACAAGGAGAAGAAGACGTCAGGCATCAGCCACGCAGTCAGCCAGACACAGAGTAAGAAGGAAAGTAAGATTTTTTTATTTTTTATTTTATTTATTTATTTTTTGTGACAGGGTTTCTCTCTGTAGTTTTGGTGTCTGTCCTAGAACTCACTTTGTAGACCAGGCTGGTCTTGAACTCCCAGAGATCCGCCTGCCTTTGCCTCCTGAGTGCTGGGATTAAAGGCGTGCGCCACCACTGCCTGTGGAAAGTTAAGATTAACAGAAAAGAAAGATAAAAGCCCCGAGGGAAAAGGTAGTTGGGATAATTTAAGATAAGAAAATCTGGCTAGAAGCAAGATAAGCTGAGGCTGGGCATTCATAACTAAGAATGAGCCTCAGTGTGTGATTTATTTGGGAGCTGGGTTGATGGGTCCCCCAAAAGCCAAAAGAGCAAAACACCACACAACATGCTGCTGTTTTGGAGTCACCCACACACTTGTGTGTAACCCTTTATTCATATTCTGTAAGGCAGTCTGGTAAACTTCTTGTTCCCAAAGCTAGGCTTGTGTGTAACTGTCACTTTGGTCTGTTGTTGCTGCTTGGTCTGGGGTGAGGGGATCCTTGTTTATGCCTCCCTAGGGGAATTTCATACAACCATATGCACACACAACTGGAATCTAGGTACACTTTGTTAGATTACTCTTCCCCCATATCATTAGAATTTCCCAAGTATTATTAAGATATAAGTAAATTATTTAAAACCTGATTTTGAAGTATTACACATTTATTGTTGAGATGTTGGAAAAGAGAGAAAATAATAAACAATAGAAAAAAAGAGATGTATCCCCATCACCCAGAGATAACCATAACATGTGTGTAGGTTCTCTCAGACTTCTAAATTTTATATGTGTTTCAATGACTGCTTAATACTTGGGAATTGGTTTCTAAAAATTGACACATTGATCAGGAGAGATAAGAGCATTGACTGCTCTTGCAGAGGTCCCAGGTTAGATTTCCAGCACTCACATGGTTGCTCACAATCGTCTTTAACTCCAGTTCCAAGGGATCCAATACCCTCTTCTGGCTTCTGATGGCACCAGGCGTTCATGTAGTGTACAGACAGGTATGATGGTAGAACACCTGTACATGTAAAATAATGCAAACATTAAAAAAAGATACATGTATTTTCCATACCATTGAGTAGCACTCTATAGTACATTCTAAAAGATTGCATTGTGTCCTGTTTTTCTGTTTTGTTGGTACTGGGGGTTGAATCTGGGGACTCATCCAGCTAGTAATTTAAGGTGATTTCATTGTATTCTATTACACACATGCATTGTAATATACTTCAATAAGCAGAAATTACAAAATGATGTTGCTCATAATTTTTCCTTATACAAGGAAAAGCCAACTGTCACCCCTTAGAGTCACAGAAGTGTATTTATACCCAACTTTAGGACAAATTCTAGCATCTGATGGTGAGGACAAGGGCATTCTGAACTTACTGTCAACTTATCCTTGAGTAAATGTATACCTGTTCCAAATGCTAAAATACCCCTGCATTTGTTATCAAGTTGTACGTCATCTCTTAAAATATATGTTCTGACAGACTAAAATAGGCAACTTAAACGTTCCATTTAAGTTGCTGTCTCATGCATAGCTGCTGAAAATGGTACTTGATGATTGAGTGAAGGTATTTCCCAAAGAGGACTAAACGCTCCATCACATTCGCCTCTCGTGCCTTTTTGCTAATTCTGCCCTGAACATCGGCCCTGAGATGCAGCTCCGTGACTGTTTTCTCTCTCTAGAGTCTTTGTTCCTGGACTGCTATTTCCCTCCTACACACATGGTTAGCTGCCCTTTCTGATTATTAAAACACACCATCTTCACTACAGAGCATTTATAAAACAAAGATTACTCCCCCACCCCCCATGGCAAAGAAGGCTTCCTGTCCACCAAAAATCTTGCACCTTTTGTCCGTAATTAGTCTGGGGATACATTTTCCAGACCACACCTGCATCTAGGCATGACCAAAGGCGTGGGAACAGGTTGCTTTCAAGCGAAGACTTTGAAGTTATAGGAGTGTTTTCCTCAATCTTTCTCTGCTAGACGGTTAATGAGGCCTTAGGGGGATTTGAGGAACTGCTGCTGGAGAAGTTTGGGCTCTCTCAGTCCTAGGGTTGGAGAGAGCCACCTGCTAGCCAAATCTGGGTTACCTTGCTTCAGGAATACGGCAGTAAAACTCCATCTGGTTACAGAAATGCAGTGATTCAGTCTTTAGAATACTGTTAACACTTTGGTCCAGATTTATTTATTTATTTTTCCTTTTTTATTTAAATTAAAAACAAGCTTGTTTTACATGTCAATCTCAGTCCCCTCTCCCTTCTCTCTTCCCCTGCCCCCCATTAACCCCCTATCCCATCCCCTTTCTGCTCTCTAGGGAAGGTGAGGCCTTCCATGGGAAATCATGGAAGTCTGTCATATCATTTGGAGCAGGGCCTAGACCCTCCCCCATGTGTCTAGGCTGAGAGAGTATCCCTCTATGTGGAGTGGGCTCCCAAAGTCCATTCGTGTACTAGGGAGAAATACTGATCCACTATCAGAGGCCCCATAGATTAACCAGACCTCCAAACTGACATCCACATTCAGGGGGTATGGAACAGTTCTATGCTGGTTTTTCAGCTATCAGTCTGGGGTCCATGAGCTCCCCCTTGTTCAGGTCAGCTGTTTCTGTGGGTTTCTCAAGCCTTGTCTTGACACCTTTGTTCATCATCAATTTTATTTTTCTTTGTATTTTTATTATGATTACTACTTTCTCTCTCTCTGTATGTACACATGTGTGTGCCACAGTGCCAATAATTAAGAAGTGAGGTTAGTAGTTAATTTATAATAATTAAACTTGTAGTCACATTATGTATGTTTTCAAGGTTAAACAAGTATGTTTTAGACAGATGACTTTCAAACACTTCAAAGATCTACAGACTGTAGCATTTAAAGTTTGTCATGAAAAAGAGACACATCTGCTAGCAGCATCAATTTACTTCATAAAAAGATGATGGGCATCAAAGAAACTCCATATGGAGTTTGCTTTTAATGTGACAAGGCTAGCCACTTGGGCAAGAAACTACCCTTGCCTTTACTGTTGACAGTATGCTGGACTGGACAACTGGGACACAGGAAAAAAAAACTGCTAAACTTTGCCAAGACAAGGCAGGACAGTCCTTACAGATTCCTGCTTCACAGAAGAGTCTGTCAGACATTCTGTAGGACACAGAGAAAAGGGACTGATGAACTTTGACAACACAAGGCTGGACAGTTCTTCAAATTTCCTGTTTTACTGAAAAGTCTGCTGGGTATTCTAGGCCTGTAGGCCGAAGATGGATGCCTCATCATTGCTGAGGAATTTTGGGTGACTGTCCAGGCAGCCAGATGTCTCTGTTGTTAGGTAATATTACAACCTTCTGGGGTCTTTGATGGAGTTAAAGACTAAATAGATTTTTCCTTAGTTACGATATAAAGTAAATTAGGTATAAAACTTTGGAATCACTAAGGTATTATAGATAATGAAATATTTTCTCTGAATTTGCTAAATAAAAATACACTGAATATTGTAAATGTAATTCTTGATAACTTTTTATTGTATATAGTTTTACTATGTTGAAGTTTTATTTAGGCAAAAAAGGGGGAAATGTGGAATATTAGTTTAAGATGTGTTACATTTGTTTATGCCATGGAATATTTGCTTGCATACTTTTATGTTGCATTTGTTTAACTCTGTAAAGCTCTGTTACTTTGCCTGTCCAAAATACCTGATTGATCTAATAAAGAACTGAATGGCCAATATCTAGGCAGGAGAGGGATAGGCAGGGCTGCAGAGAGAATAAATAGGAGAAATATAGGTTCAAGAGAGAAGAGCAAGGGAGGAACAAGAAAAGGAGGAGAGAAGGATGCCAAGAGCCAGCCACAGAGTAAGAGGGAAAGAAAGATATATAAGACTGAAGACAGATAAAAAGCCCAAGATGTAGTTAAAGAGAAATGGGATAATTTAAGTTTAAAAAGATAACTAGAAACAAGCCATGGTAAGGTTGGGCATTCATAAGTAAAAATAAATCTCTGTGTATGTATTTGGGAGCTGGGTGGTGAAACCTCAAAGAGTTAAAAACAAAACAACTACACACATGTACACCTGCACACACATGCCAACATGCATGACCATATACATCCATACCACATACAAAGGAAAAAAATTAAAAAGCTTTCATCTATATCTCTGCTATAAGGACAATTGTGCTTGGATTTAGGGGTCAAGATAATTTCCCTGTGTCAAGATCCTCAATTGAATTGTGCCTCATAAGGGAATACTGCAGGTTCCAGAAGCTGGGGTCTGTTGGTGTATGGTCATCTCAGCAGCTCTCTTTGGGACCCCAGTCACAGCACTTGCATTGTCAGATGCAATTATCTATTTTTGCTCAGTTTTGCTTTCTAAGGGTCTTGCTGTGCTGCCCAGCTGGTTCCACATTTTCCCAACACAGTTTGCTACTCATAACCATGAGCTGTTGGGACTTCAGAATGTGCAACGCAGATAGGGTTGGATTCCATAGACATTTCCCTACTGACTCTCCTCTGTTCCTTCCTTTCCTGGTTTCTTTCCATGTCCAGTTCTTGCACTAAAAGAGCAAAAGCTAAAACCAAAAATCTCTTTAAAGCCGGGCGTTGGTGGCCCACACCTTTAATCCCAGCACTTGGGAGGCAGGCAGGCGGATCTCTGTGAGTTCGAGACCAGCCTGGACTACCAAGCGAGTTCCAGGACAGCCTCCAAAGCCACACAGAAACCCTGTCTCGGAAAAAAAACCAAAAAAAATCTCTTTAAATAAACCTGCTAAGTCTAGACTTCAGACCAGACTATAGCCCTTACAAATATGGTCAATGGAATACAGCTGATGGAGTACAGCGCTTACAAATACATCTGAGAGAGTACAGCCCTTACAAATACATCTGAGAGAGTACAGCCCTTACAAATGCAGCTGATGGAGTACAGCCCTTACAAATACAGCTGATGGAATACAGCCCTTACAAATACATCTGAGAGAGTACAGCCCTTACAAATGCAGCTGATAGAGTACAACCCTTACAAATACAGCTGATGGAGTTACAGCCCTTAAAAATATAGCTGACGGAATACAGCCCCTACAAATATATTTGACAGAATGACAATGTTTTCCTTCAGTTGGGATGCCACACCAGACCCCAGGATCTTTGAGATGAGCCCGAGTTGCTAGGTAGGCTGCACATGCTGTCAGCTCAGAATCAATTGTTGGGATTGTGGGGGAGAGTACTTAGGACATTGTATCAGGAGGCAGTAGATCTGCCAAATACTTGGGACAGTGTTCTACTTTGCGCTAGGGAAAGGTATGTATACCCCTCCAACTGTTTGGGTTAGGATTTAACTGGACCCTTGGCTGGTTTACATGGTGTTGACATAATGACACCCACCCAGTCTCCTCCAAGTCTACTTACCAAACAGTTTCTAGTTTTGTTAGCTGTGTTCCAGGACAAAGCCATATATGGTCATGGGGAGAATGGATACCGGTGGTGGCAAAGCCAATGGACATTGAACTTTTGCAATGGATTTGTGTCCCAAACACAAATTCATTAACAACATTTTTAGCAGACTTAATTAACTTTATTTTTCTTGTATGAAAACCCCTATGTTATGGCCACAGCTGGAGCCTGGGTCCTCTGAACAGAGACTCTGGTATGGGTTTTCACAAGATGGTCAGTGAATTCCTGATAAGGAGACTTGGTGGACACAGTCTCTTTCCAGAGGCCAGGGGCGGGTCTTAGAGACGGCATCAAAGGTGGCCTAGGTAAAGCTGCCCAGGGTGGCAGTGCAGCCCTGGCTGAGGTGTAGCAGTCATCAATACCGACCATCATCAGTTGCTCCTTGGGTACAGGAGCAGAGATGATGCCGGTGCCTCTGGGGGCAGGGATGAGACGCACCAACACAGAGTCCCAGTGACCTGTCACCTTGCATGGTGAGAAGCTTGCCATCTTATTCCCTCAGTAGCCTCTTCACACAGGATCAATGGAAAGGTTGGCCAAGATGTTGGCCCCTTGGATGGCAGTGGCTACCTCCTTGGAGCACTTAACACCAAGACCAACATGTCCATTGTAGTCCCCAATGGGGACAGAAGCCTTGAACCTGGTCTGCTGGCCAGCCTGAGTCTGCTTCTGTACTGGCGTGATCTTTAGAAACTCATCCTTCAGGGATGCATCCAGAAAGAAATCAATAATCTCGGATTCCTTAATGGTCAGGGAGAACTAGTAGATCTCTAGGGACTTGATCTTCATGTCTTTGACCAGGTGGCCCAGCTTGGTGACGGGGATCCACCCCTTGTCTCCAGATTTACCTCCATGATTCCAGCAGCCCTGACCCTTGACACAGAGGCCCCTAAGACAGCTGCCGAATCCTCTGCAGAAGCCTCCGAGGTCCTTAGGGCCTTAGGGCCCTCCTGCTGCACCGGTACCATCCACTATTTGGTGTTTTCCCGAAAAAAAAAAAGCGCTCTTTTTATTTTTCATCTCAAACATTAGTTTCCCAGGGGCTGGAGTGCTGGCTCAGCAGTTAAGAGTGTGTACTATTCTCTCAAAGGAGGGGAACTCAATCCCCAGCGTCCTGTGCTGGAAGCTTATGACCACTCATTAACTCCAGCTTCAGGGGAATCTAACACCCTCTTTTTGATTCTGCAGGCATCTTCACTCATGTGTGTACACCCCACATACACATGTGTATATACATACACTTACACTTATTCAGATACCTATGTATACCCCGCATACACAGATACATATACTTACTCAGATATGTAGGTATACCCCCACATTCATGTATGCATACACCCCACATACACATATACACACTCATACACACATATCCCCATACATAAACACATATTCATGCACACACACGTAGCTCTTCTCTCTCTCTCTCTCTCTCTCTCTCTCTCTCTCACATCCCCATACATAAGCTCATACATACCTCCCCCCACACTTACAAATAAAAAAAGGGCTGGAAAGAAGGCTCAGCAAGTGAAGGCACCTGCTGCCACACCCGATTCCATGTGTTTGATCCCTGGGACCCATATGGTGGAGGAGGAGTATGAACTCCTTTAAGTTGGCCATGTTCAGACTCCTGCAATGACACACAAATAAACAACTGCAAAGAAATCTCTAAAAGGTGCCTCCTGATTTTCCCACATTCCTTTGATTATTGTGAACAATTTTAATAAAATCAATTTGTTGTCATCCCTGACAGAGGCCGGTCACATTTGAATATTTCATTGGTTAAAATCACGTGTGTCTTCACGTAGCTAGGGGACAAACTGTGGCACCTATTTGCAGACTCTTGGGCCCGGCCTGAATGAGTGCAGTGGTAAATATCCCTTGCTGGCTTGGAAATGCAGTGATTTATTTTAACCGTCCCCCTGACGGTACAGCCCTCCTGAGTGACTTTGCCCTCGTTATTTATAACCTTCCTTGTGCACCAGCAGCTTGTCCCCAAATCCCATCAGGCAGCGTCAAGCCAAGGGAGCAAGGATCTCACTTCTATCAGTGGGAAGATCCTGAATGTGCCCACAATGAAGGATTTGGTGCGGGAAATGGGAGGGGAGCCACTGGGCTTGGTGTTTCCAACTGGGTGCAAGCAGGTCCCTCTAAACTTACTGCCATTTCTCACGCCCTGTTTGCAGGCAGATGCCGCGGCATGCACGTGGAGAAAGAAAGGAGGACAACTTTTAAATTGTAGCTGTTTGGAGGGTAAGTCGGTGTGCTCGGCTGTTTCAATTTACATTTTCATCGTGACTAATTGTATCGAGGGTTTAGTTTTGTAGACTTATTGGCAAGTACTCTCATTTGTGTGTTATCTGTCCAATAGATTTTAAAGGTTGGTTTATATACACATGATGTATAGTCATATATAAATAATATATATATATGTGTGTGTGTGAGAATATGAAAGTCTGTTTTTATATCTACATGTGAAATATAGATAAACATAAGAATATTTAAAGTCTCATTTGGATGATATGGTTAATTTTTTTAAGGCTTATTGATGAAAATATGCTCATTCTCACCTTTTTCCTGTAGCCGTAAACTTTGCAACATGATTTTGCAAATCTGCTTGTGCCCACCAGGGGGCAGTGTCTATATCATTTGAATCTGCCGGCTTTTGACTGTGTGTTGGTTGGTTGGTGAGGTGTAGTGGAGGAAATCATGTGTCAGCTATGAGGCCCACCCTCCCTGGGGCCTCTTGCTCTCTGCCTGGGTGCCAGTTACTGACTCCTTAAAGGTTCAGCTTCCCATCTATAAATATCTATCGTCTTTGCTACCAAGTAGACCCTCCACAAATTCACATTTGTAAGTCTGTCATTGTTACTGTTCATAAATCAGCCCAAAGTTCAGTTTCCTTAGTTGGGTTTTCTCTTAAGACATTTGAGTAATTGTGGTTGCTATACCATATATTATTTGCTCAAAGGCCAGTGTCAACATGGAGCTGACATTTCTTTCCTGTCACACAGCCTTCCGCTGCCTGGCTGTTTCCACCTCCATGCATTCCTAGGAACGAGGGCACTTGGAGTACTGTATCCAGGAATGCCACTGACATCCCCCGTGGGCTGTGCCAGGCCCCATGTCTCCAGGATTAGCGTTTACACGGTGACCCTGGCTATGCAGAGGTGATGTTCCAATAGCACATCTCAGGTCATCCTTTGGGTTAATCAAAGCATGAGCTTACTTTCCCTACTTGGAGGTATTTGCAAGCAGATTTCTTCCATATTTGCCATCTCACGCCTTTCAAGAAGAGCTGAGCTTCCTTGCGGCATCCTGTGTGTGTGTGTGTGTGTGTGTGTGTGTGTGTGTGTGTGTGTGTGTGAATGACGCAAGGTAATCCATCATTGTGGCAATGAAGAATGAGTCTCATAGGCATCAGGTCTGAGACGCAGACAGCCTCTGTGTGCTGTCATTCTGGGCTAACGACCTGGGCCTCTGCACCTGTCACAGCACTCAGCACTGGCACTTGGGTCACGACCCAGTGTGGTGTCTCTGCAACTGCAAGCCTGGGAACTGGCCAGGCATGAGGCACACCTTAGATTTTCCCTCGGTTGATGGGAGTAGCTGGCTCTCCATGTACAAAACAAAAAGTGAGGCCTCTGGGCTTGCATCATCTGCCTCGAACACCACAGACACATGGAGAAAGTTGCATCTACACAAGGGCAGTGCGATCCTTCTGGAACATTCATAAGCTGTTTCTATTTTCTGAGAAAAGATCTCACTATAGTTGAGGCTAGACCGAAGCTCACTAGGTAGCCCGGGGTGATTGCAAAATTACAGCAATCTTCCTGATCAGCCTGTTGAGTTCTGGGATTGTAGGTTTAAGGCACTGCTTCCAGCTTTCTTCACGGGCATCGGAAGTGTGTTGCCTCACGTGTTTTCTGTTTCTTCTTTAAGGAAATGTCTCATTAGGACTTAAGATTGGCAGGTGGTAGGGGCTGATGCTAGGTCTGCAGGCTCAAATCATTACAAAACCCAGGTGTCTAGCTGTATGAGTTAGTTAGCACCTCTTAGCCTCAGTATTCCTATCTATAAAGCAGAAAAGAGCGCCCATTGGTAGCTATGAAATGTATATTTGTTAAATGTTTACAAATACCAGGGCCTGGGGTGTAGCTCAGTGGTGGAGTGCTTGGCTAGCGTGAGCAAGGCTATGCTCCATCTTCACAGAGACAGGGTTTCTCGGTGTAGCTTTGGAGCCTGTCCTGAAACTCACTCTGTAGACTAGGCTGACCTCAAACTCACAGAGATCTGCCTGCCTCTGCATCCCCAATGCTGGGATTAAAGGCGTGCTCCACCATCCATGGCCATATACAGTTATTTTAAAAAATGCACAGCAAGAACAATTTGTGGAAGGATTATATTTGCTTAGTCAGTAATTACTCTTTTATTTAATTTTCTCAGTTTTTATGTTGGCTTTAAAATATTTACAATTTGTTTGTGCCCACGCATGCACAGATGGCCAGATGAATTGTTTATGGCTCTCACTTATCACTTTCCACTACTCCTTTGAGGAAGGGACTCTCCTTGAAGTTGGGACTTGCATTTTCTTGACTAGGGCTGAAAGTCAGCAAACCCCAGCAACTATCCTACCTCCCTGTGGGGTTTCAGATGTGTGCAGAATGGTTTGTTTGTTACATGGGCGCTGGGATCTGAACTCTGACCTTCACTATTGCTCAGCAAGTACTCTTAAGTGCTGAGTCATCTTTCCAGCCTCTTTATGTTGGTTTTTGTCTAGACATTCAGCAACTGACCCAATTCTGGACACAGCTTTGAAGACCAGCTAATATTGTTGTTTCTTTGTGGGAATACCAACTCTTTCAATGACTGTGCAGAAACACATTCTTGTTTTAGATTTAGTGAACTGACTCTTGGGCTCTTCGTAAAGATTGATCACCAGAAAGACCAGGTCCCAAGAAGAAGTTTGAATCTACCATGCTTATCCTGTGGGAAGGAGAAAAGAGGCAAAGATGGAGTTAATGCATTCTTATGTCTGTGTGAGGATGGCTTGGTCAAAATCCCAGGAGTTTGGGGTTCAGAAAGCTTCTATGTTGGTGAGATGTGTCCATGTGCCAGGAAGGTGGTGCCCAAATCCACAGGGGTGGAAACTTTTGGGTTAGGAGGACTCGCCCTCATGCTTTTTCTCTGCTTATCAGCATGCTGAATCACTTAATGATATCTATGATAAATTATAACAAACTAGTGAGCATGAGAAGGTACTCAGGGGAACCCTAAATATGTGACTAAGAAGGACCAACGCATGGCTAACTTGTGATTTGAATATGAACTGTGATTGGTGTGAGGGAGCCTTCTACATAACTGAGTCCTTAACTTGTGGTATCTGTAATAATTGCAAATTCTATTAATATTAAGATATAGTTGGTATCATAACTACAATACGGGGAACTGACTGCTGTGCATATTAGTTACTTTTCTAATACTTTTCTGCAGCGACAAAACATCTGGCAGAAACAGCTTAAGTGAGGGGGGCTTTGGTTCATAGTTGGTGACAGGAGTTCAGTCCATCGTGGCTGGGGTGGCTCTGTGTGTGGCAGCTGGAGCTCGTGGGACAGTTTGTTATATCTCAGTGGCAGAGGGACCTCAGTTGGGGATGGAATCAGGCTGTACCTTCAAGGCCCACCTCACAGCCATCTCCTTCCTCCTGTCAGGCCCCACTTCCCAAAGGTGCACAACATCTCTAAACAACACCACGTGTTGGGGGCCAAGTGCTCAAGCACAGGTGCCTATGGAGTGTGTGTGTGTGTGTGTGAGTGTGTGTGTGTGTGTGTGAGTGTGTGTATGTGTGTGTGTGTCTGTGTGTCTGTGTGTGTGTGTCTGTGTGTGTGTGTGTGTGTGTGTGTGTCTGTGATCAATTCATATTCAAATCACAACAGTATGGGAAATCTGGACGCCCTCACTAAAAAACGAAGGATGAAAATGGCTGGAGAGATGACTTAGCAGTTAAGAGTACTGGCTGCTTGATCAGAGGACCCAGGTTCAAGTCCCAGCACCCACATGGCTGCTAACAAGGACTCTAACCCCCTCTTCTAGTGTCTGCAGGCAATGCATGCATGTGATACACAGGTGCACATGCAGGCAAGACACCCATCCATGCACGTAAAGTAGGTGAGCAAACCTTTTAAAAAACGAGGCGTGAGGATATAAATAAATGCATTTTTGTAAATAAAATAAAGAATATTCTGGATTCAGATGTATTTCTGAACTCCAATTTAAAACATGCAAAAAAAATTAAAAGATGAAAGGGAAGAAAAGAAGATAAAGGTCTCGAATGTCCTCTGAAGGTCCATTCATTGATGGTTTGATTAGCAGACTGGTACTTGTGGGAGGTGACAGGAAAGCTAGGTCATCCAGAGGATGCCCAGGAAGGGGATACTGGGACCTGGCCCCTCCCTCTCCTGTTCCTGCTTCCTGGGGGCTGAGAGGTGAGCAGCTGGCCTTGATTTTCCTCAAAAGGCAGCAAGGCAACTGAAGATGCATGGAAACTGCTAAAGCTCTGAGCCACGATGGACCCTCCCTCTTCATGAGAAAGGAAAAGAAAACCGAGGCTGTCTTTTCCAGATTGTTAATTTCACATCACCCTTCTCCAGGCATGTGACATTTCTGAAAACCCCAAGGCTTTAGGGGAGGCAGTTTTGTGATCACTCCATATTCATGTGTCAGGGCACACTCTGTCATAAGGCAGAGCTCCTCCCTCCAGCGAGCCCCACGGCACACGGGCTCCAGTGTGCAGCGAGCCCCAAGGCACACGGGCTCCAGTGTGCAGCGTGGCTCAGACATGTGGGCTCCAGTGTGCAGCGTGGCTCAGACACGCGGGCTCCAGTGTGCAGCGTGGCTCAGACACGCGGGCTCCAGTGTGCAGCGTGGCCCAGGCACACGGGCTCCAGTGTGCAGCGTGGCCCAGGCACACGGGCTCCAGTGTGCAGCGAGGCCCAAGGCACACGGGCTCCAGTGTGCAGCGTGGCTCAGACACGCGGGCTCCAGTGTGCAGCGAGGCCCAGGCACACGGCCTCCAGTGTGCAGCGTGGCTCAGACACGCGGGCTCCAGTGTGCATCGAGGCCCAGACACGCGGGCTCCAGTGTGCATCGAGGCTCAGACACGCGGGCTCCAGTGTGCAGCGAGGCCCAGGCACGCGGGCTCCAGTGTGCAGTGAGGCCCAGGCACGCGGGTTCCAGTGTGCAGCGAGGCCCAG